ACCAAGAAGAAATAATTGTCATCAAATGATACTAAAATTCGACATACTCTGATTAATTTACTGAAACTAGTATCACTTACAACTACTTTAGTCATAGTTTTGTGGATAAACTTTGCAAAACAGGAAAAAGGTTTTTAGTATCATGAAATTAGTTAAGATTTATTCACAAACACATCTACCCTCAAACAATCGTATCTCAGTCACTCTGATATAACCATGCATTCCTCGAATTCTAATTTCTACACATACCTCAGTCTCACTCCTTTACTATTTTAAAAGCAGGCAAAAGGTTTTTGGTATCATTCAATTATTCATGTTTCACCCACAAACTCACTTACACTCAACAATCACAAATCTGTCACTTCGATATGGATTCTTCCGAGTTCTCATTTCTAAACATATGTCACGTTATGTCAGTCACACTCCGCTCTCGAAAAACTTCCCAAAGCCCCACAATTATATTCCCCTCTTGTTTCAGAAGTAACTCAAACTCACTCAGTTCCGCACAGCCCTTCCCCTCGAAATCGGTCTACGCTCGTGCGACGAGAAACTGGAGTTTATTAAGACGTTACACTTCCAGAAATATCACCCTCGAGACACGATCCCTCTGACTCGATTTCACTTCGAAAAAGTTCGGCCGACGCGCGACGTTTCAGGACAAATTCCCGACCAAACCGTTTTATTTAAGGTGAACAGAGGCGACAGTCGTTAAAGCGTCCAATTCTTGGGGGAACGGTTGTCACGGAAATTCGGCGATAGTACGGTGAGACGTTTGTCGCGAAATAATCAGTTCAGTTAACGACACGTCAAGGTTAGATTAATGGCGAAACATTGTTCAAACTTGAACTGGAATTACGAGTTTCTTCGTTACTGTGTAAAAGTTTCTTTCTACGTGTTGCAGAAAGCTAATGAAGTCCACGACGAAGTGAACTACGGATTAAGAGAAAAATTCAGAGGTGGTGGTTTCTTTTAATCTGACCTTAGCCTAGGATCAGCCTAGGATCTAGGACCTAGGTTTCTAGATTAGGTGTAAATCATTTTGGTTACTTTAATCTTCAATGTCTGAGTAATTTAATTGTAACTATCTTGAACACGTACAAATATTTATGTTACATTGAAAATTAAAGGAACAAGGAATGTTGATATTATTTGGTATTAGTGTGAAATAACATGATACGGATACAAATTTCAAATGAATTCTAACTTGATTGGTGAAAAAAATTTGCTGTTTTATGTAGCATTTATATAGTTCTATTTATCGTAAGTAACCTAATAGAATAGAAGGAATATACAATTTAGGCCTCATGAAAATATTCAAAAAAATGACTCGAATGATCATTGAAGTCAAACTTGTTATAAATCCTATGTTGACAATTAATGAAGATACTTATTTCATCGAGTGGTAAGGTAAATTCATTTTTCCTATGAAATTCTATGACAAGGCAACTGCAGGCATGTATTCTAGCCAACGGTGACAGTTTCGAGCAGTTTATATAAAGGTGAGCAGCTGCATATTACCGGAGTTTACAAATGGCTAAAACTTGGGAGCAAGTTCAAATAGGACGCATGTTTATGTAAACTTTTTTCCATTGATTTTGTGTCCCAGTACATCGCTGAAGTAGGTCTCATATGTTACCATATGCATACAGTATCAATTCTGCTTGTCATACTACAGTATTGGGCACACTGGTAATTAATTTTCAACTCTCTACTGTATGAACTTTATTTTATGCGTCCAAACAGTAATTATTTATACTTCATTAGTTCCCATTGATATCAATTTAACCTTCGTTTTTGTATCCCTTAAATTCAATTTTACATATTTCTTATTTCACATGACTGTTTTTCTTTTCTTCTTTGTATAATAATGTAATTTGTCAATTCTATTATGAAACACTCGTTATTATATTTATTTGTAGAATATCGATATATAAAATATTTATATTTTCACCGCAAAGAATAATTATATAAATAATTATAAATATCTATCTGATCTTTCGTTCATTTTTCGAAGTTATTCAAGAACGTAGTTTTCTAATTTTTGTTTGCAGTGATAATAGAAAATTATATAAATATCTACATAAATTTTAAATACATATTCTATACAGTGTATTCAATAACAATGAGACAAAGTATTTGATTTTCCATCCTTGTGGAGCTTATTAATTATGCGAGTATTCAATTCTGCCATTACATCAAATAATATAATTTATCACATCACACCCCTTTGCAACAAAATATATTAAATGCATGAATGGCAGTCAATGCTCAACCAGACGAGTTTGCTTTGCGTTCTGCGGTCGGGACACGTGGTTCAATTGATAATACGAACGTACAGCTACCATTCAGTGGTTTACGACTGACTATGAAGCTGATATTTGATATGTGACTTAAAAACATGATTTTAATCGTTGATCAAATATTCCATATAATCTAACCCTTTGCTATATCAATTTTATTTTAACTTCGGAAATAATTATTATTGAATTTCTCATTTGGTACATTATATAATAAAAAGATATAGCCTGCAATTAATGAAAAAGGGTTGGTCTTGCGTGATATTTTATTACAAATTCAAGGTTGATTGTCCTGGAGTCCCAATGGGACACGTGCGAGATTAGAAGATTTGAAATTACTTTCAGAATTAGTTGCATTTAAATGACGTCTCCCATGAAAACGGTCGAGATGACTCAAAAAAGTGACGCTTTGCTCGTCACAGATCGGCAAAACCTCACGATTAAAATTAAGTGAAGGTCGTGAAGGATCGTGAAAAGTTCCAGCAAGTCGAGAAGCAAAAATTCTATTAAGGTTCGAGTCAGACCCAAGTTGAACACTGGAAGATCGTTTATGTTCTGCTTTCCATTGGGATAGGGTTCGTCCACTGGTGTTGTTGGCGTAGACTTCGCCAATAATATAGAACTCAAGAGCAAAACTCCTTGCAATTGCTCGTGACTAGAGTTTTACGGGGACTCCAAGTACTAGCCTCGGTGAAATGCAAAAATGGAAAGGGCTTGTCTTTCCGTTCTGTTTCTAGTTCGGCTTATGATGGGTTCGGTAAAATAAGAACTCCAGTGGTACAGGTACAAATTATCATGTTATTTAGCGCCCGTTCGTCGTTATACGAACCCATCACCGTCGGGTGAGGTCAGGTTCAACTCTCAGGCACAACTACTGACGCAGGGAATAAATAAAAATATTAATGCTTTCCATTGGGATTCTGAACTCTCTGGGATCTCTGTGTCCAATGCGACGGCACACAGAGGGTCATTTTACATAATTAGGAATATTATACCTAATATTCAAATTAGTAAATTTCGTTGAAAACAGAAAAATTGTTTGTCTACAAACTGGTGAATGAGTCGTATGACGACTATTTTACAGAATTCGTCCTCTATTAAAATATTTAAGAAAACATGATAAAATGTTCTATAAACGTGTAGAAGTAAGGCAACAGATATTTTAAAGAAGATCAATTTGTTTTCAGGTAAAAAGAAATTACCAAATATAATTTTCCTTTCGGTCCCTCACCGTAAAGTCACCCCTCATACATCACAGGTGTACAATATTCAGTCTACCCCCTGTATAGGAGTGTCTCTGAAAAGTAGTCGACCCTGAGAGATTCTTGTAATAAAAAAACATTTGTTTTGTTTTCATACAGACTTTCTGCGTCAAACGCGAAGCCACCACGAATCCAGGCGACTGCCAACAATTTGGCAACCCGCGGGAACCAATTCACGAACTTTCCAGCCAAATGGGAATTTTATCGTGAAAGAAACAAAAGAACATTTCCTGCTAGCCGTAATTCACGAAGTCGCGAAACCAACGGACAGGAAAGCTTCACCCTCCGACACGAATCGAAGACGAAGATCTGTTTCTTTGGCGTTCGACTTTTCCTATGACGCTTCCTCTTCGTGAAGAAGACACATTATTCTTACAGTGACACGGCTCAAAACACATCAATTTTCAGTTGGGTAAACATTCTATTAATCATTAAGAGTGAACTAACAAGTGATACAAGACGATCACTTTTAAAGTTTCAAAGGAAATCATGCCACCATGTATAAGAACGACACATTGTTAGACTGTGGATGATTATCCAAATTTATTCAGGCGAAGAAGTGAGATTTATATGAAAGTATATCTTTTCTTCTAGACACTGTAACATTTATGCGTTTCATATTATGTTGATTATTTATGTATTTTTGCATTCATGCATATCCTCATTTTCACTTGCCATGAATGCATGAACATTTTATATATTGTTATTTGTTATCTAAATTGCACAGTGAATACGTTAATCCATTCACTGGCAAGTACGAGATTACAGAACTCCATTCACATTATTTTCCAATCACCTACGTTGACTTTTATCCATATACGGATACATACGTCCAAATTACTTCGAACTAATAGATATGAACGTGATCAAAAAGTCTTGCAAAGTAAACGATAACAAAAACAATGCAGCAAACAATGCAGGGCAGTTTTTTCAATCCTTCGTAAACCTATTGTTAATATATTTTAAAGTTCCAAACGAAATTATGCCACCCTGTATAAAAATGAAACATTGTCAAACTATTTATGCAGATTTATGTATATATTTATAGAGAATTTTAGCTGAAGAATTGAGATTTAAATAAACGTATGTCTTCTCTTCTAACCAGTGTAACATTAATGCATTTCAATGTTGGTATTTTTGCATTCATGCACATCCTTCAAAGTTCTTTTCTAAGATGCACACTCCTCCTAAACAATGCAGTAGATAAAACATCAAAATAAAAGCGAGACCGTCAGTCCCCTTTTTATTGACTCTCTCACCTCGTTGTACGTCGAATAAAAAGTGACTAAAGGTAGCACGGTAAAAAGTGAGCGCGGTTGTTCCAACCAAATGTTAAAAAAGACACAAGTCCTTCCAGCGCGAAAAGCACGGTTTATATTTCACGACTCTACCAGTGTCAAACAATAATAATTTCCAGCGCGTAAAAGGGAAAAGTCCAAACCTGTCATCAATGGGATTGTCACTCGCAAACTATCGGACACGTACGTTCCATCCGAGGACCAATCGGGGCAGCGATCGTCGAACGTTCCTTATTTCTCGCCTAGCCGATGGAAACTCCACTGGAACTTCACTGGGAATTTCAACGTCGCGCGACGCGAAACACAAGAAACGAACGTCGTGGCCAGGTACGCGACACTCGCGGTTAAAAGAAGCGGCACCTTCGGACGCGGGTGGCCAGTCGCGAAACGCGAACCAAACCCAACTGAAGTGCGATGTTTCCGTACCCGCGACCGCGCCTCCGCCAACCCCCTCCGCGCCCGATTAAAACCACTCGCGCACGCGTTTCGCTTCTGGAACTCGGCTACGGGGTTGCTCTACTCGTTTCTTCTCGGTTACCAGCGTCCTCGACGGACGCGCTTTGGGATAGAGGCGAATTTTTGGCAATACGAAAGGGAAAGCCCCCGCCTCCCCCCTTCTCCATCGCCGAATCCGCGCAGAGTCGTGGGAAGATTCGTGATTTATGGGGGGTTGCGTCGCGTGTCTCTGCTCGTTTCATTTCCTGAAGATCCAGACGGATTTCCGGAACGACTACCGGGGAAGGTGCGCGACGGGATCGGGTTACGAAACAGAGGTTCGTTGAATTTGAATTATCCACGCTGCGCGTGTCCTTTTTCGTGCTTTGTTGTTTTTTGGAGGGGTAGGTGTTCGAAGTGGAGAGATGTGGAGGCAATGGTGGCGTGGATAAACGTAAATCCTGTAACGTTTATCATGTCAATGTTTCTGATGAGGAGAGTGTAGAATGCAGACGATTCATGTAGGTACAGTTTAGACATATACAATAGGTACAATGGAGTTGGATCTTTTACCTTGAATACGTTTAACAACATCGCTTAATACATTGTCTGGGAGATTATCATGTCAATGGTTCTGGTGCGGAGTGTACAAAGTACGTATGTATGTATATATGTATTTATGTATTGGGTTGTCCAGGAAGTTCGTGGCTATTTTTAAGAAAAATTCAAAAGCACATTTGAATTCTGATGTATATTTATTGAATTATATTGGTACCATTTTGTTCCAGAACCTTTCCACCTTTTAAAGGATGTATACATGTTTTCAACCATTCCGATATATTCAGATCTAAACCACCAAAAATCGACATGGACTTTCCAGACAACCCAATAAATAGGAGTCAATACCTGTCATAATAGGTAGGGTGCGAAATACAAGTAAAAAGCAAGAACGATTATTAGCCCAAACGCAAGAACCACGTCTGAAAGACATCTTGAAATTTTCTCCATTAATTAGATAAATGAGTTCACATTCCCATTCCTCTTTAAAATTTTTAAAAATGTTCATGGCATGAAAATGAGGTATTTATGTAAAAAAATTTTTTAAAAATGATTAAACATTTTTAGAAGTTAAACTGAAATTATTATAACTAAACTCTTTTATGTCTTCATTCTTTCTATGACCTCGAAAATCATTCACAGATGTTTAGAGATAGCATAAGAATGAATATCAAAATAAATCCTCAACGCGTAGCTATAATTTTCGTCTTCGTGATAAATTTTGGAATGGGCGATACCGTGGAAAATGTACAAATGCAATGATCTGGAAGACTTCACGTATCCACGAACTACACGACATAGCCCGCAGCATATCACTAGAGGAGCTGGAACTTTTCCGACATACGTCAAGGAAATCGTCCGACAAGCTGCTCGTGATGCGATGATCCTTAAATCCTATATCTACTATATTTTAGAGCAGTGGTTCTTGACTTCGAACAATACCAACAGATACACCACATACTATAATAATTATATCATACATTAGTATTTTTATCTTTAAAGTTGTATTTCGATGACATTAGATTCGTTTCAGGGGTATGAATTTAGTTTCATACGATTAAATAGACAACACCCATATTAAATACTAAATAATTTATAATAATTGTATCATATATTTAAATTTTGTATGTAAAGTTACATGGCATTGTGGATTTCAAACAAATTAGTAGTTTTCATTCCAATGATATAAATGTAATTTGACGCAATTAAAGAACCAACAGTCATACGGTTAACATTATTTCATATTTTTTTGTATATAATTATATAATACTTAATTTCAATGGTACAATTTTAAATCAATATTTTTGTTTTATCTTTGACCAATGGAGCACTTTTTCGAGTTAAGAAAATTATGGGAAGACTACTAGTTCATATAATTTAAAAATTTCCTTTAACTAAAAATTACATTGCACGACGAAGTAGCATTTAATCTTCCATATTTACAGTCAACTACAACAGCAAATTTTATTTCCAATACAGCAAACACCAACTAGGAAGCTTCAAGGATTTCGTTGATTTCAATGTGAAACTTCGGAAACACATCTTGGGAGGAAGTACTTGGACCTGGATCGAATTTCGAGTTAGAGTAGAGATCTCGAATTTGCGTCATTAGCACACTGTGCAATTTCCGAATTACGAGTATCCGTATCATTGTACGACTGAGTTTTCGGTTTCCACTTATTGTTAGTATAAAATAAAAGATCACGAAGACAAGCCCAAACTTGTCACTTTCACTCTAAGGGAGAGGCCAGCCCCTGCAGGACTATTAAACAATTAAACAATAAAAATATACTACAAACTAAAATTATTAGGAATTATTAGGAATTTGGTAGGGCAAGGAGTTAATCTTTAAATTATCTGTCAAACTAAGCCATGAATCATCCATCTGATTTAAAAAAAATTAATCAAGAAACACCCACGAACAATTTCACATATTAAAAGAACAATATCGACCACTGACAAAATACTTACGCCCCATTAATAACATTATGTTACACCAAATTTCCAAATGTTTTCAGAAAAAATGTCAATTCATAAAGAGGAGACCATAAAAGTAGAAATTTAATATAGAGTGACGCCACGCAATACCATTTGATTGATTTATACATTCCTCGTCGCATCCCCTTCAAACTAAACCGTGTATCATATCAATATATAAAAAATCGCGTCTAAATTGTTCAAAATATCCTGCGGCGTTCGTCGAAATTTCCGCGTGAATGAAAAATAACCTGTCAGCAGCAAACGCGAATTTTCTGAACAATATTAGCTAGTGGAATATAAAGAATGCGAAGCGGAATGTGACAAAGCGAAAGAAAAAGTACAGCAGATTAGCCTGCCGAGGAAGCACAAAGAGGTGGCTCGAGGGGTGGGAGGAAGGTTAAATTGTGAAGACATAACGAGCGAGGTATACAAGCACGTCAAGCTCGGCGTTCAAAGAGGAGAATGAGGAAACACGAAAATATTCTTAAGACTACTAAATCGCTCGGGAGATAATGCGCCGAGCAATTCGTGTTTCCATCCCTCGTTCACGGGTTAATTGAAAGTAAATGCAGCAATACATAATAAGTGTTTGACAAGATTAACGAGAGAGAGAGAAGTCATTATTACTGAACTAAATTAATCTGATATTGACACGTATATTTAAAAAGATAATTATACGTAATTTATTGTCATCTTATGGGCTTCGTGTGAGAAAAATAGAGTCCTCTGTTTTACTGCAATGTGGCATAGTGGTATTAATTAGGTACTGACGTGTGAATATTTGGCATTGACTTGTAAAAATATGACAGATTAGTTCCTTTTACAATACCTTTTTTATATGCAGCACACAATTGTATTAAATGAGACAATTGAAACTATTATGAAAATAAAAATACACATGACCTAATTGGTTTTCGTATCCCCGTGTTAATGATTGGCAAGAATTGTGACAGAATTAGAGAAACTCATGTCAATAATAAGATATTAATTGCATTTATCAAAATCATTTAATCTAGATCATCAAATTGAGATTTCATTATTCAGTAAATTTTGGAATTACATTACGTAGTGCAAGAATGTAACTTTAATTCTGATCAATTCATTTTTCATATGACTTTTTCGTACGTTCATTGTTTATACTGTCGCCTATCTCAAGCATAAAGGAAAAATTGATAAAACGTTCAATAAACGAGTAGAAATTATATCACAGATATTTTTAAGAAAATTGATTTCTTTCCTGGCAAAAAGAATTCCCAAAGATAATCTTCCCTTCTGCCTTTCACCGTGGTGTTTCCTCTCGTCGCAACGTACATTATATATAGACAAGCATTATTTAGTTTAATCCCTGTATACGAGAGCCCTTGGAAGGTAATTCAAAGTAAATACAATAATAATTAACCAGACGGATGATATAATAGTTTTCAAATACTGTAAATTCTCTTTGCGGCAGGCCAGTCCACCCAAAATACTGTGCAAATTTGAATGGGGACGCGTTTGACAAGATAAACGAGAGGGAAAACTCGGTTAAATATTAATATTGAATCCCTCGTTAGGTTAGTGGTTGAAATCCCGATCTCTATACGCAAGAAGATGATGTGGTTCTACGATAAGTTTGTTGAAGCTAGAGGAAATTTAATCGACCTTTCGGCACAGCTGGACATCCTGGCTTATTCTACTGAAGTATATATACATATTTGAACGTCCATGAGTACATCCTCTCGTGAAGGTATAATGTCCTGTTTAAGTTGGGAAGAAACTGGTACGAATCTCTATTCTGTTTGAAAGGATTACATCCTTGAAAGTAATTCTTATTTTATTCGATAAACAGTGGTTAGATTTTCTCTGTATGGATTCGATGAAGGGAATGGAAAATTATTTATCACTGTTAATGTAAACACATTCTTCAGTGATTTTTAATTAAGTTATGCCGATAATGACACATACTTATATCTTGTCTTTGTATTGGAAGTATATTTATTTTTATTTGTTACATAGTTTTCAATTTCTACATTCAATATTTTGAGACTATAGAAGAGTGTTAATTGAGGTTACATAGACATTCGTATTAAATACACTGTATACAGGGCGAGACAGCTAAGCTGCGAGGAACATAATTTTTCAATTTCTCCACTAAATATCTTGATACTATATAATGGCATTATTTAAGGTTAGATATTAATACTATATTCATAATATACCTTTTAAGATTATGGAAATACATTTTTCTATTAACAGTCATTAAACACGATTGTTCCAATCCTCGACACTTGATACTCTCAATTATGCTCTGTACCAGAGGCTTATATCTGATGGAATAGATACGGCAATTAACTTTTAGTTACACTTTGTAAATTTCGATGAGAATAGTGAGGAGGCAACGAAGATATCGTTTAAAAACGTAACGAAGGTTCAA